ATTCACAAGTGTCCATATAAGAGATAGCTACATAGGAAATTTAAATTGTAGAACAAAAAGGACCACTAGGAAAAAAAATTTTATGTTGCTTCAAACATGTAAAAGTTTGGAACAAAGCAAAATATAGGTCCACAGATGTATCAACTATTGATGCACAACCAGGACATCAAGCATTTTCCATCTTCAAGCCAATAGAAGATTATTGGTAGAGTTTTTCACCATTTTCAGTCGCCAATTCTCAACACATATCTTACAAAATTACACCAATAAGGAGTTGGCTATCATAAAGTACCAGACATTAGAACCTTAATATTTGAATTCCAGTGTCAAATCACCCCTCAGAACACCATTATGACTGCTACCAACAAGAATTATATATCAAGTAATTTCGACTTTCTCAGCAGCAAAAATCTCCTCGGGCTTTAGGTACAAGAAACAGAAAACTTTAGTTTAGTCTATTTACAACTTCATCCATACCAGACTAGATAAAGCTCAATCAGAATGGGTTCTGTTCTCATAAGCTCAAAAACATAGACTTCCATACAACAGAGAGCATCTGAGAAAGATCATTGAGGAATTAATGAGATCTAATTCGCTAACGTATGGCCCATCCTCTTAATCATCTAATATGGGATATTGTGAGTGGATGTTTGATGCAAATTACAATCAAAATAAAACAGCAAACCATCATGGTTTTCACTGAAAGATGAACAAAGAGGAACCTTCTTCCGAACATAAATAAAAATGAGAGAGAGAGAGGAAAGACACCTTCCCTCCATTTAATTTATTTAAAGAAGTCAATGAGCAATTTTCAGGATTCACGTGAATTTAGCAGTAGAGAACCATGAGATAAACAACTAGACAGATGAAACATTTGGCAAGGGCATTTCACACAGTAAGGAATGAAGAGAAATTTGAAAAGTTAATGGCTCATACCTGAAAGTGTGAACTGCTCAAGCAACGTGCAATTTGGCGGAACAAAGGTACCATAGATCTCTGAAATTCAGCAGGCTGAGTAGCTTCCAAAATTTCTTCCAGTTCACTAAGGAACATGACTTCCTTTGAACTATTAGTAATTGGCCAGTACTTCAATAATCCCCTTATAACAGTATCAGCTAGTTTGCAGTCTTTCTCAACAAATTGAATGATGCAGTATGATAACTGCTGATGATACATTGGTAAGCATTTTGGCTTGTGAAGGGGTATTAGTGCCCGAACAAGGAACAATTTGTGTTCTTCTTTGAGTGGCAGAGCAAACCCATTGATTATACTTCCCAAAACCTCTAAAAGCTCAGCAATCCCATTATGCTTCTCCGTTTCAAAAATAAAATGGAAGAAGATGTTGTTAATAGCTTTCCTGATAAATGGGCGATGCACCATAAACTTGCCATAGATTCGATGCAGAATTGTTTTTAGATACTCCCTCTCCCTAGGATCTTCAGAATCAAAGAGATCCAATAATTTGAGAACAAAAGAATGATTGATATACCTCTTAGCCAACTTTGCATCTGTCTCAGGAGATGCCACAAACCTCAGAAGGAATTCATAAACAATTTGCAAGTGAGGCCATGCAGAGTCCATCAATGGCTCTTCCTCTTCCATATCAAAGGCTTCTAGCACCTTATTTTCACGAGGCTGTGGAGTAAGGGATCTAAACAAGTTGACAGACACCATCTTTACAGCTTCTTGCATAACTGTTTCAGCAAATTTGCCATTCGCAGAACTAACATAATCCACAAGTTCAAGTAACGTCTGCCGCTTGATGTCTTTTTCTTTCAAGTTCTTCATTGCGTCAGTGAAATCAAACACAATACAACACAAACTTAGCTTTCTAAAAAACAAGTTTTGCTTCTCAGAGCTAGGAACATCCTTAAATCCAGGTAATGCTTCAAATGGAGCAGTCAATGAATTCCCATTCAGTTTTTGATTTACAACTTGGGTGAGTTTACTTCCATGGCTGTATCCTAAACTAGAAGTAGAATTAGGTCCAGAAAGAGGTGCACTGTCGATCATCAGCCTATGATTACCCACAATATCACTGCCTCTTAAGTTTGAGGAATTACTCAAAGAAGGAGCAGACGAGCCCCCAAATTCACGATTCTCAGATGACTTTGATGGCTTTCGAGGAAGCCTGCCTAGTATCTGCTTGATCATATCTCAAAACAAACGAAATAACAAAATCCACAATGAACCCAACTGTGCTCAATTTCCTTTACAGCAGAACCCAGTCCATTAAAAGAAGGGAACCTCAACTTCACAGTAATGGAAGACAACCAATACACATAGAATTCATTCCAAGCCAAGAAACAAATGGACCCAACCTATAAACTATCCCAGATGTAGAAATTCCTATCCGGATAAAAATTTGACAACCCCAAAAAGCATCTGTCAAAGCAAAAACTCTTGCTTTTACCAATCATCCTATACTAAAATTTGATAACTTTCTTTGCTCAAGACAATTCTAAAACAAAAAGACAACACCTTTTGACTTAAATTCCGCTGAAATTAAAGAAAAAGAAACACTTAAACTGGAAGTCCAACAGCAAACTTTAAGCATTAAAAATATACCAAAAAAAAAATTGAAGCTCCTGGTTTCTATGTGGTTCCCAGCTACCTCTTCTTGCTAAAATCACCAGCGCAAAGTCAGTTGGGTCAAATGATGACAGGATCTGGGTTTGATCCAAAAACACCAAATTAGAATAAACCAAAGATACTATGAAGCAAAGAAAAAAAAACTACAAAAGTGATAAACTAAAACAGATTATTACAGAACAACAACAATAAAAAAGCAAAAACAAAATATAAGATAAAAGAAAACCCAGAAGAGAGGAGAACCTTTGACACTTACAGAAAGCTAGCAACTCGCTAGAGAAGTTGAACACTAGAAAGAAACAGGCTTTGGACTTTCCCTTTTTTAACTTTCTTTTTTTCTTCCGAATTTACTTTGGGCAAAGGGGAGACAAAGAGCAAGAGAACAAAGTGACCAAAAGGCAGCCCTTTGATACGAGAGCCTTACTTCACTGCGCGTAAATGGAACATCTGAGAATATTTAAAAAATAGATAAATTAAAATAAAAATAAAAAGTTTGACAAAAAGAAAAGATGTCTGTTCTCTCTCTCTCTCTCTCTCTTCTATGTTCTGTCAAGTACTAATAGTTTAGATAATAACAAAATAAAAACGCAAATAAACAAAGGTTTTGTTTCTTAATCTTTGATAATCTAATTTATGGGATGATGTTATGTTGAATGTTTTTACTTGGGTATATGCTTTCTCCAATTCTCTTACCTTCAACAACGGTACCAGTACCACACTGTTTTAAGCATTGCACCATGGCCAATTCACAACTTCTTTCCGTCTGTTTTTTTTTTTTTTCCATTGGTTCAACATATTCCATATCTAAAAGGAAAAAAAGGGTTGCTTTGGTTCTTGAAAGAGTTCCTTTGGATAGACTGCAATTCAAGTACCTGTTTAATGAACAACCCAAACTGAAATGGGAACAGAAATTCTAACAAGCATATCAATTTAGGAGAATCATTTGACTTCATGTGTTTTTTAGAGGATAAGTTAAGGCTAAACAGTATGCTTTCTTAACTGACGCTAACAAAATTTTTCAAATGGCATATATTCTCTTGCTTAAGAGTTGGAGAACAATCCAAGTCTGAATATGGTTAACTTTATTATTATTATTATTATCATTAGAAAGTCAATAAAAGACAAGCTCTTAGCCTCCTAAAAAACCCAATAAATTTGCAAATTGAAAAACCTCAAACAACTTTGAATTACTTTTGTCACCGACCTACTCGTAAAAGGGTGTCATGCTGTCATCTAATATCTCATTAATTCAAGTCCACTAGGAGTAGAAAGTATGCCCTAAAATACCCAAAAAAGAAAAATGTTGACAAACTCATAACCCTTAATCAACCAAAACTTGTGGCCTTTTCCCTCAGTTTACATAAGAATTAAAGAACACCCGAACTTTGTAAATTTGAATCGTTTAGATAATAACATATCCTTCTGAAAAGATTTTTAATGGCATTTTCTTCTGTCAAAAAGATTAATTAAGCCATTTCAAAAAAAAAAGGAAAGATTAAATAAGCAACAATAATAAAGGCATATGAATAGGGCACTGGCACTGGTCATGGGGTAGAGATTTTCCCCTCGAGGTGGGGTTGACGCGGTTTTTGTCAGCAACAGCAATTGGAGCGTTCACTCCACGCACACGTAAAAGTTGCTGGACTGCAGGTGGAAGTGGACCTACTCGGAGCAGAGCCCAAATGCCAAATCCAAGCCATGTTCATGTCAGTTGAGCCCCATGACGACTTTGAGAGAGGCAGGGGGGCCAGGGGGCAATTTGGTGTAAGTCTGACGCTACCAGGCTGATCAGGAATCAAAAGACTCCTTATTACGACCATTCTGCTGTCCATGCAACACCCTGCAAAGAGCCACAAAAAGCCCTGCTTGCTTGTCTCAATTCCCTGACAATGACGGAAAGCTTATCAAAGATGGGGGGTGGGTGCTTTGATGATTGGCAATGATCGCTAACCCTTTATTGTGGAATAGCAGCAGCAGCAGTTGCTGCTGCACGACGATGTCCAAAATGATGCAGTAAGCAAAATGGAGCAGTTTGCATTTGGCTTTGTGCATAACCCTGTCTCTTGTCAAATGGTCATGCTAAGCCAAACAAACAACTTAGTACAAATACAAGAAGGATTAAGTAATCAATTTAGGACCTAAGTTGTTTAGTTAATAATCCTTTTTAACCTCTCTTTTCTTACTGGTCAGTGAGATACAACGCTGATTTTGTATGCTCATGATCACATCATTAATCAAGTACACTCCTAGGCAAAGTGTTGCATACACTTTTAAGCAGCATTAACCCAGAAATTTTTTCCCCTTTTTGTTAAATTTATCAAATTGTTGTTTGGTACATGTGGATAAGGAAGTTAAGAAGAAGAGCAACAACGGATACTAGCACTGTGACTTCTTTCCTATTTTCCTCCTTTCACCATTGAATGAGTGTTCATGGATATGAAATTTCATGCTAACCAAGAAGAAGTATATGAATAGGACAAGTTCAAGAATAAATAGATTAATTTAACAAAAATGTTTATTAGGCATCACTAATAAGCTGGAACCTACCATACAGCAATCTCGGATTCCTTTTGTGTAGAAGGCAAGAAACTGACAATATTTCATCACCCAGACAAGGTTGTTACTTCCATCCCTATAGAAAAGCTTGAGACTCATTAATTACCAACAAATCTCTCTCCATCTCTTAACCAGATGAGCCATTGGCGTTTGCTTTATGGGAAACAAGCACCGCTTCACTACCAGAAGCTTTCTTTTCAGCAAGTTCTTCCAAGCGCTTCCATATAGTTTCACGTCTCACTTCAATCTCATCTTCCTTTGATTCGTCCTCCTGAAACTTTAGCAAGCACTCATTGTACAGCTCTGGATCAAGATCATAGAAAATTTTGCGGACATTTAAAGTCAAGCTATGTACAGCCTGGTTCCAGTGATTTCTAGCGTTTTTCTCCAATGCAGGGAAAATAATGGGCAGTATAACCTTGCGGTTTTGAATAATTAAGTTCTCAATGTGATCATTGTTCCACAAAAACAAGGCTCTCTCAGCAACCTGAGAAAAGCAAAAAACAAAAAAAGGAAAAATCAACAGTTGCGTAATGACATTCAGGGATCAAGGAAAACATCATCAGTTCCATAAAAAACCACAATGGATAGAACCTATCATCTGGAAAGCCAATATCATCCCCAAATAAAAAGAAATCAGAAATGAAATGATAAAATCATACTGTGTCGCAAGGACCATACATATTTCACAAAATATTTCCAGCTGAAAGTGTACTTAATGTCTGCTATCATATAACAGAATAGTGTAATTCAGACTTCACTGGCAGCATTCTATAAGGGTTTTATCCTACTTAGGTCCACAGAGACTTTTACAGCTGAAATTATGTTTAAAATGTATGATATGACTTAACAGAATAGTAGAATCCAGAATTTTCTGGCATCATTTCCAAAGATTCAATCATAGTTTCTTACATCCATTCCCTTCAATGTGAATAGAACATGTGTATGGCCATAGAGTTTGCAATTAGCAAGAAATTTTGTCCGGTGTTTGTGAGTTTGTTTCAAAACCATCACATAGTATATTTCAGCTAACTGTACCCATTTATTATACACAATAGCAGCAATTACTTTAACAGTATGCCACCTACATTTGTCATACAAAAGCACAAGTTCAATCAGCATATGTTGCATCTTCAAATATGCATGAGAGTTTGTCTTGTAGGCAATCTTAACACTTCAACAAAATAATTAGGAAGAAAAATGAGGAATTCAGCACCTATTGACTTTAGGTCTGTAGAGGATTCTTGCAGGAAAGATGATGCATGTAGCTAATAGAATGTTAACAAAGTCAAACAACAACAATTTAGAGGGTAAAGCCATAAAAGCCAACTCTCTCCAACATACAAAATTGAATGTCTCAGTCTCCATTTTCAGACGTCTCAAAACAATGTCCTCTTCCTTTCATTTGTGGGATTCAATTATCCCAAACGCACTTTGATGATGAAACTTGTTTCAAGTTTAAACAAGAGTAGAAATTTCCAAGATTTCAAAATGTTTCATAGCAAACAAAATTCTGGATGTCAAAATATATAAAATAAAGTCGTTCAAAGCCTTGAATTCTGCCATATAGTGGAAATACCAATAGCAGGTGATATAATATGGATACACTAGTACATTCCAGCTTGCATTATCCATAATATCAGTTAAAAGAAAAGCAAAAATCAGCATCAATGGAATTTTATATTTAACAAAGCTCAGCTTAAGGAGGGATGGGAAACATAAAACCTTCCTATGGGCAAAAGCCATGAACAACAAATGAGATGAGTTTAAAAAAAAAAAAAAAGGAAGAAAGAAAAGATGACTTGTAAATAACCATAGTAAGATATGCAGCAGCTCTAACACTGCACCCTCACTTTATTGCAGCAATAAACATTAAAATAAGAGTACGACCAACAATTATGCCTAACTACAAAATGATTTTTGATTAACCAAAGAAAAAGGTGTTTTACTTATAGATATTTGACCTTCATGAGCTATTTCAACTTGCTAATATTACCATTGAACACAAAAGCACTCAAAAACAGAAATGCAGATATAAAATTTATTCCAATTAGGCACAAGATTTTGCTTTCAAAACCATTTTAAAATCCACAAAATTCGTAATAGTGATGAGCAACTATTTAGAATCTGAGCCACACTTAAATTCCTGTTCATACCACTACACTTATTTGTTAATTTCATCAGTCGAACCTCCTGAAAATACAATTGATAATAAAATTCACAGGGCCTTTAACTGATCCCAAATTTCCAGTAATCACTCAAACCATTTATGAGTCTGCAATCAGGTTCTATGTCTAAACAGTATATTCCCACAATACAAACCTGACCCCATGAGTATGGCACTGCAAATGCAAAATGGATTGTATACTAAATAATGCTTCATTTGTGCCTATAACTCTATCATAAATAGTCAACGTTAGCTGTTCTGACATCATTAGACAAATTCAAACCACCAATCGGACCAATCACACAACCAATCATGTAGACATCAGATTTTATCCGCATATTATCCTTTAACATTTACTTCACTTATCCTTGGCAGCAAGGATAAAACAATAAGACAAAAGGTCTAACAAATACCACAAAAATGCTTACAAACCAAATGCACATTCTCGCAATATGATGCATTCATTATTAAGTAAACAACAATAAGGTTTCCAACACATGAGTTAAACAGATTTATAAACATCATCCATGTCAAATTGAAAGATGTTTAGAAAATGTCTTTTGCATCTAAACAGAGTAAGAAACTAAAGGCAAAGCAGAACAAACTATCAAAAACTTCTCACCTGAAAGTGCAAACTGTTCAAACAATGAGCAATTCGGCGAAATAAGGGCACCATGCATCGCTGGAATTCTGGTGGCTGAGTCGCCTCTAAAACTTCCTCCAACTCATTTAGGAACATAACTTCCTTTGAACTATTTGTGATGGGCCAATACTTTAATAACCCCCTAATAACAGTATCAGCAAGCTTACCATCTTTCTCCACAAACTGCGTAATGCAGTAGGATAACTGCTGATGATACATTGCTAAGCATTTTGGTTTATGCAAGGGAATTAGCACCCGAACAAGGAACACTTTATGTTCTTCTTTAAGTGGCAGTGCAAACCCATTAATAATACTGCCCAAAATTTCTAGAAGTTCAGCAATCCCATTATGTTTCTCAGTCTCAAAAATGAAACGGAAAAAAATGTTGTTTAAAGCTTTCCTAATGAATGGTCGATGCACCATGAATTTTCCATAGATGCGATGAAGAATTGTTTTCAAATATTCCCTTTCTCTAGGATCTTCAGAATCAAATAAGTCAAGCAAATTGATGATGAAGGATTGATCAACATATCTTTTGGCCAATTTTGCATCAGTCTCAGGTGAGGCTACAAACCTCAAAAGAAACTCATATACAATTTGCAAGTGTGGCCAAGCAGGATCCATTGAAGGTTCCTCCTCTTCCAAATCAAGGCCATCTGCAACTTTATTCTCACGTGGTTGAGGGGTAAGGCTCCTAAACAAGTTTGCAGATACCATTTTAACAATTTCTTGCAAAACAGCATCCAAAAATTTCCCATTTGCAGAAGTCACATACTCCACAAGCTCTAACAACGTCTGCCGCTTAATCTCTTTTTCTTTGAGGTTCTTTGTGGGGTCAGTAAAATCAAATACAACAGAACACAAGTTAAGCTTTTTTATGAATAAATTCTGCTTCTCTGAAGCTGGAACATCCTTGAAAGCAGGCAATGCTTCATAAGAAGAGAACAAATGGTTCCCACTGGGCTTTAAATTTGCACCTTTCCATCCAACATCTGCCATAGAATTAGGTGCTGGAAAAGGTGAAACACTCAAATTTCCTGACTTGCCAGTCCCTAAATCACTGCTCCTTGAGCCACCAGAAACACTAAAATAAGTAGCATGGTTTCCACCATGTTCACGACTATCAGCCGTCTTGGACAACTTCCGGGGAAGCTTACTTAGAATCTGTTTGAGCATGACTCACCCTCCCCTAAAACCACAATGCTGATTCCCACAAATTACTTGGAACTCGTCAAAATGCTATCATTAATCAGAATCCATCAAATAACAAAACCCACATTCTATGTCATCTACAGAGAAAAGCCGAAATCAAAAGGCTTACGTCAAAATAACTTGCTACCAAAACCAAATATCTTGTGCCCAAAGAAGACCCAAAATCCCTACCATAGGAAAAAACCAAAACTAAACTGCTAAAGCAAAAGAACTAGTTTAAAATTCCAGATTTTTCTAGTCTCAACCATCCAAAACAGTAACCCTTCTTCAGCTTCAAGCCCCTTGTCTTAAAATCAGCCCAGTCCCTTTCTCTACAACATCACCCAATTGCATAACTTCAAACCTTCATGCATAAAAAGCAGAACCCAGAAGTACAAACTCACTCAGAACAAAAGATCAGCACCAGCTCCTCTGTTCTTCCACCAAAGAAAAGAAAAAGAAGAAATTAAGTAAATTTCAGCACATTCCAGATTTCAATTTATTCATAAGATGAATTAAAACAATCAAGGCACTCTAAGCAATTAAGAAAGTTTTCTTTTCTTCTCTCTTCATTAAGTAAAGAAAGAAGAAAACACACATGCAAGAAAATGCAGAGTTAAAAATTGATAAATAAAAACAAAGAAGAGGAGGCTGCTGCAACTACTTACAGAGAAAAGAATTTTCAAAACCCTTCCATCTTGGTTTGCTCGTTGTTCTTTGTTGACTATGATTATTTTTTTCCTTTATTGATTTCTCGTGATTTCAGTTATTCTTATTCGATAACTAGTCAATCCTTTTATTGTTCAATTTTTCTACTCTTTTCTGGGAAAACTTCCTTAGCAGTCAAAAGTCAAATCGACAACAGTAACAAGAAAATCCAAAAACCCGGTGATCACTAACGACGTCGTTCGAGACAAAAATTTTCCCTCTTTTTTTCTCAAGTATTTATTTTATTTATTGGTAATTATTGCAGTGGTGGTTTTATATTTCTTGAAACGGGTTTTGAACGCAAGCGATATTATATTAGTAATTATTGTAATTATTGTATTATATTTCTTTTGATAAGCGATATTACTAATTGTTTTATGCCTTTACTCTGATGAAGATTTTACTACATTCTTTCCGTACAACAATTATTGTTTTTAAAAAATAATTGTTTTTACACCACATTATTACATGTTCTCTACAGTTGGTGTCGTTGCAGTATCTAATTAATTTGTATGTTGGGAAGAAGAGTTTCCTTCTTGAGAATCAATTTTTTTTTATTTTAAATTACTCAAAAAAATTAATTTTTTAAAATTACAAGCGATATAAAAATGATGCATAATTATTTTCATATCAAAAGATAAGAATCATTCAAAATTGTCAATCATCATCGTTACGAAAATCATGTATAATAATTCTTGTATCAAAGAATTTGAATCATCATCCTGACTACGTGAAATGTAGTGTGCATAACTAATTCTTTTCAATTTAACAACAGTAAAAGATGATTTCCCCTTTTATGAGGCGGAGAAGTTTAAACCACAGGAATTTGCAAGAGAATGTCTTTTGATTGAGGACCCATACCTATAGGAATGCACGATGATGCAAAACCGAGAAAGAGGTATGAAATGAATTGAACTGGTAATTAAAATTTTCAAAAAATGAAGAAAATAATGATAAATAATAAATGGTGGAAGACAAATTAAGCCTTAAGGGAATTGGTGGAGAACACATTGATTACCATCCATCAAAAACCTAATTTTGATGGCCCACGATCCTACAAATTATCAATTCCATGGGACACTTAAAACAAAAATCTAAGTTCAATTTTACTAACACTCTCCTAACTTCCGTTCTCGAAAAAGGCCCCATCGGCCATCATTATTGAACCTTTTCTTCTCTAATAAACTACAGCAAATGGCCACTCAGAGGTCGTAACTCAAACCCCTCTCTATCCTATAACCCCACACCACATTTGAGCACTGACGCTTGGCTGTCTAAATCCAGCTTACTTACTTCACAAGTTTACTGAATTCGAATTATTGTTCATCAGGGTATAAGTTAATACATATCACGGACTCAAACCAACAACTCCTTGGCAATCATCATTCTAAAAACAAGGGTGTGTGTATCTACAAAATTTTATTATATACAAACACAAGTAATACTGAGAATATACGGCAAGAGGCTACAATGCAACAAGATGCTATGTGAACTCTTATCTTGCAGTGCAATACGAAAAGGTGTAGAAGATAATTACCAAAACGTTTAGTGTTACAAACTATATTCAATTTTGTTGTCGATAAATGTCTGAACTGATGGTTCTCTTCCAAGAAAGTCAGACAGAATTTCAACTGGATCCTTCGCCCCCCCTGGTGCCAATACCTACCAAGAAGTTTAAGTAATAACCATTAGTAGTATTATTTTCGGATGTACACTTGCATGCTCACACTATGCTGCATGAGAATGCTAACTTTTGATTGTTATGTGTTGTATGCATGATAGTAATGGTAGAGATTTTTCAATATTTCTATGACAGCTGCTTGGAAACTAAGAAAGGAATCTTAAAGGGAAATTTTCAAAAACTGTCAACAGCATGGTAACATATAAAAGAATGCATTGAAGAGAATGCATACTAACAATTGTTACCTTATCCCTAAACTGCATACCGGCATACTGATTCAAAAGACCATCACGAAACTTCGATATAAAAATATCGGCTGCAAATACCTATACATTTGAAGTATTACAAATGATTTTCATAAGGTGCACCAATCACAGAGAAATAGATCCTCCACAATAAAATAGTAACAGTTATATCGCATTACGCACAAAATTGCTAAAAACTACAACATTATATAACAATCTGGACGATAAAAGTAAAACAGGCAAGAAAGACAGGGCTGAACCAATCAAACCTCACTCCAAATACGGCTGTAACAAGCAGCTTCATAACCAATTGCACAACGTGGGAAGCATGAAGCTGGATTGGTTCCTTCTAACATTGGCAATCCCAACATTACCTACAAATACCGAAAGGAGGAAAAAAAAAAAGATTTAATTATTCTCCTCCTAAATGCATGAAGAATGAAGCAACAACAGGTTAATGTGTTTACCTTTGGATGAAGATGCTTGAACAACTCAACAATGTCAACATTCTCAGCAGAATGTATAATTTGATCAAAAAGACCTGACAGTCGAAAACATCTTTAGAGCTTATCTGAAGACAGGGAAATAATATGTATTACAGCATACAGCAGTCCATCTATGTGGATGCGCTAAATTAGAATGCCAATTTTTCTTCTAAAACAAATTCCTAGGAATTGACTCCATAGAAAGACAAGTTTACTCCTAATATTTAAATCAACAAAAAGCACCTAAATACACATTGTTAACTCAGAAAAAAAAAAAGCAAACTTGTACACGTTGCAACAACAGGCAGAAAGCATTTGTAATTTTGCCAAACTGTGCAGTGTGCACTGCACTCAAGAACCAAGGACCCATGGAGATTCAGAGAACCAGTGCCCAACATGGCTGGACGTTTTACTCAAGCTACCAAGAACAAAACAAAAACTCCTATGATCATACGTCATATCAAATTTCCCATTGAAATTAAATGCCCCCACCACGCTCTTTAAGTTTTCAACAACATGTTTTATTGGATTATAGAATTTTGGGGATCCTGGTGAAACTAATAAAAAGCTGTCCACATATTCGGATCTCATTCCAAAAGGCTAGACTTCACTCAAGTAAAAGTAAAAGACTAGACATCTCGAATTGGGATCAAATTCCAAACTCTTATCAAAATGGAGAAAGTGAAATGATTAACAGATCAGAACAGATTTTCTTAATGTATAAATCTCAAGGTCTCGAACTGATTCAATAAAATTGGAGTTTACTGATTGATGATAGAGTAAGAGGCTTACAATAAAGAACTTCTTGCTTCAATTTAAGTGCTGAAAAGCAATATCGCCATCGTTTAAGCGATTTACATATTTCATCCTTGATGGGCTTTGTAATATCCTGCAAATGATAATGTCACATGTATAACCTCAAGTACTTAATTTCCTTTTAGATATTTAATACATGGTCCACCCTTTAACTAAAAAGGGACCATCTACCATGTCTTTGAGAATCACTACAATTTTTCCTTTCTCAATCACTTTAGAAAGAAAAAAAAACAATCCAACTAGATTATACAAGCACATAAACGCACACATGAACACCCCAAAACAGACAATCAAGCCAGAAGTCCAAGCCTATGCATATATGAATAAAAATCAACACTAAGATACACACAGACACATGCATACATATATTGAGTACGTATATGCAGAACTTGTCAAGATGTATCACCTGATGGAAACCAGATATCAACTTCAACGAAAAGCTCTCATAACACCTACATGTTAAAGAACCATTAGTGGGCAGTTGCATCTGTCCAAAAAGAATAAGAAATAGTAAGAGCCATGATTCACCAATTCTCTAGCACTTGAGCAGGGATCTCCACAAAGTCAGGATCAACACGCAGCCCAGAAAATCTAGCAAATGACGCACGGTTGCACAGATGTTGCACCTAAATGCTCATAAAGAGTGAAATCCATATTATCTACCAATGGCATCAAAGTACAACAACATACAACCTACTTAAATTTTACCACAAAAGCATTTATTATTAGCCAATATATTAAAGAAATCATAAATGATAAAACCAAGAAGATAATTTAAACATACCACATGGCCAAACTCATGGAAAAGACTGACCACTTCAGAGAACCTTAGCAAGCCTGGAATGCCACTGCTGTCCTTCTGAAGTTGAGAAATCAGCAATGCCACTGGAATCTGGTAGAGAAAAGCAAGGAAAAAAAACTCATATCAGTCTCTGGGTTTCAAGATAATGGACATAGCATATTTTAGTAAGATTTGAGCAAATTTATTGTACTTAGGTGCTCAAAGAAGACAGCAAGAAAACATTTTATATGTTTAGCCATTTAGGGACTGGAACACAATGATTATGTCATGTGAATTACCTGTCGTGCACCACTGAATGCTACTGAACCATTTTGAAGAGCAAGCACACAAGTCTGACCATATTTCCCTTCCCTGTTCCACAAAGAGAGCCCATTTCTTTCTAACTAGAGCAAGGAATGCAAAAACAAATAAAGAAGTAAACTCAAAGTAATGTGTGAACCTTGTGAACACATCAAGGTAGAAGTAACCAAAAAGTTCACCAGATCTCAAGTCAAAAACAGAAAAAACTCGAACATCGCCATTCCAGACATCAGCATCTGCGATTTCCTCAAACCTTAAACCTGCAGGAAGTGGACAGAGCATATGATACATGCCATCACATAGAGATGAACATTCACCATGGCTGCATAACTTATATGCACGTTTTTATGACTTACCAAAAAGATCTTGAAATATTTTGAAAATTCCAGAAAGAACCAAATTGACAGGAAAGTACTCTTTGAGAGCTCCAAGGTCCATATCAAATTCCTGTTGTTCAACCTTCTTTACATAGTACAACAGATCTTCAACTCCGAATGGAAGCTCTCCTTCCTCTTGCTTCTGATGATACAACAAAAGCAAATAAAACATCTATTTGAAAGGAAAAAAAAAGAATTCAGAAAATGGAAATTATACACTGACCTTTAACTCTTTCAACACAGCCAACTCTTTATTGGCCAAGTCTGATAAACTGGAGGAAATGTCCTCTAAGAATTCCAATACCTGACCACATTTGCAAAGTCCTAAGAACAATATTACATTCATTAATGAAGCATTGAGAAATAATACACAAACTAGATGCATCTTTGAAATATATTTTGTATTGGTGTTTTAATATAATTGCTAGGTTCCTCAAAGCACAACCTCAGAACTCTTTCTCATCTACGTTTCTAATGTCTCAAGAATAAGGCAACTCGTGCATGATAACTTGTTGAATTTCCAAACTTAAATCCAAAAGAGAGGAAAGGAAATAGCGATCATTCACAATTAGCAGAAACCTGTCGCTACAACATAATATTTCTGCTTAAGTGAGCATGTTGTACCTAGTTCATTTCATATCACTCAGGAAATGAATTTTTAAGATCTTAATTTCAGGAATTATCACATAAAGCAACAAATCCTTTAGGATAGATGACAGGCTAAAAGGCAGCCAGCAAATTCTCATTAATCTCAGGGCAATTGCATCTGGGTCAACCTTGTCAATGAAAAAGAAATCTAACAACAAAAGTTCATTGTGGTTCATGAAAAAGGAGACAGAAGAGAATGGGAGAGGGAAAGAGGTGGTGATATTTCAGTTAACTTTAATTCATAAGAGACTGCATACCTTTTATAAATAAAAAACCATTAAAAGAAGGTGAAAACTGAAAGACATGAAAATTACGATTTTTCATTCATGCAGCAAATTACATACAAATATTCCCAAGAAAATAAAGATACTATGCAAACCTTCGAGGACGTCTTAGCCATTCTAAGATTCAATGCGTAGTCTGCGTAGTTTGAATAGCCAAGTAAACGAGCAAATTTATGACGCACTTGAACCTTATCAGAAGAGAGAAAAGTTAAAATTTATTGGTTCTCTTATACTCCAACACACTTTAATAAGAAATGGAAATGGATGGCAATGCAAACTCAGGGCTCAACTGAAAATCAGTGTATAGATCCACATGACTAAGATCATTGCAGATATGGAAACCAAAGATTAAAGCGAGTTCTCTATAGTCTATAGGACGGTTTTTATTTAGTGAAGTCACACACACTGCAATAATATGAACACCCTAAAGTTGCTGATAAGTTAAAACAGCTGTTTATCAAGACATCAGTAACCAAGAAGTTGTCACCAGAAAAGCCATAACATTTTAATTTTTATAATTTTTATGTGATAACAGCATGATTTTCTCTTGATAAAAACTTAATTTACAAAAACCCCCCACGTGAATATGTTGATCTGTCAGTTTCCCTCTATCATGGCATAAATAGCAAGAAAAGTATTATGAATGGAAAATAATAACTATAGCAAATGAAAAAGTTCAGCCAAACCGCGCCCCACTCCCCACACCCCCCCCCCCCGCCAAAACACACACACCTTGTTAGGTGGGTTTTAGAAGGCATAAATGACATGTTAAAAGGAGGGTTAGTAACTTATGTCTATACAAAAGTATTAACAATTTCAGATCAACATAGTTAATTCACTTTCCAAATTGTTGAGTATAGGCTATGTGAACATAGCCCTTGGTTTAATTTGGAATATCATTTCATTCTAAGCATAAGAATGAGGATGTTTTATGTGCTGATTTCTCTTTCCTATGTAAACATTTTTTCAAAGAAAAAACAGGGGAATGAAATATTTACCAAATCTTCCAAGACAGAAAGATTGACTTTTGCACATCTCTTTCCGTATGCCATAGCTACCGTCCTTCTTGTTCTTCCTACCTGCAAAGGCTCAGAATGAAAATAGGAAACTCCACAATAGTCATTCTCATATTTCAGGCAATACCGCAAAATTACAAATCAAAGAAAACTGCACTAGATTTCCGATCCAAAGCCAAAATAAAGACAAATATATAGAGCTAAGTTTATCCTAATTGAGCAGCTGTCACAATCATGCACGTAATAAGGTAATGCATTTGACCATTCACCACTGCAGTGGTAACATGCACTTAATTTACAATCGCTAGATTTTATTGTTATGCTACTTCGGCATTATCAGATGTCTTTTAAAAACTGTAATAAGAAAATAAATCAGGATTCTTTAAGCATTCTGCACTTCCAAAATACATGATAGATCACAAGTTTTACAATCTCATAATTCATCTCGTAAGTTAGTTCAAAAGTGGTTGCCAACAGCAAGGGTATAGCCATTGTCAACAATATTGCCAGTACAACATTAATCAACTTGGATAATCATACCTTGCATAGCTCCAGTACCACTGCAACATGATGACTTTTCAACGTGACTTTGACCATCCCATTTTCCACTTTTTCTAAAGTCTGCAAATGAAGCAGAACCAAACAAAATTTATTACAAAGTTTATATTAAAATTTTTAAACAATGAACAATGTATAGCTGAGTCATTCAAAGAAAAGTCCATCATAATGGGATGCGGATTTCCAGGATTAAAACTTTACATATGTTCATAATTAGAACATCTATGCAAGTAAGTAGCACTATACATAGGTCTGTTTCCAAAATGGGAGAGCTTTGCTCTTTGGGCTTTTATGGTGCAGTACCTATGCATCATATTATGCAATTTTCTATTGATTGATATTTGAAATCTTTATTTTAAAGGCATATTTTCTTTGAATTCCACTACACCCGCTGGCCAAGATACGAATAGGTTACATTTTAAATTATCACCATAGGAAAATTTATCACCAGCAAACAAGCACAAATCAGATCCAAAAATCAATGCACATTTGGAATTTTTTGTTCAAAGGAGACAGATATAGAGTCAGAATTTCCACATAGAAACTAATGAAGCAACAACATAAGAGAGTAAATGAACATAAAGAATATAGAGAACCTTGAGGAACTCTGATGGTAATCCAGCTAGCTCATTCTCATGGAACAAAAGAGAAGTGGTATCATCATTCAAATTCTGAACATATTGCAAACTTAGCTCATCAATTTGAGCTCTCAAGCGTTGCACTTCTTCTCTTTTTGTTGCTGTAAGATTCAATCCATTCCGTTCAAAGTCTCTGATCTGTCACTGGTCAGAAAGGAATCAATAATAGGACTGAACAATTTACCCACAAAGTAAACATTCAGAAGATTAAAAACAATGAAAACATTAGTGTTTCTAAGTACAGTACATTGAATTATATATCCTCATCAGGATATTCCTTCTTATAAAACTAAAGTTACCATTTTCACTTCTGAGCAGGGGATTAGCTACAAACATTGAACCTGATGTTAACAATCATGAGAAATTGTAAATATTTTCCTTACCAAGCACTGAACATAGCGTTTTGCTTCTGGACCCATCCATTCCCCTTTTGCAGCAAAAGCTTTAACAACACGGTATACATCTTCCCGCTTACTGATCAGCACCACATAAATATAGTACAATATTCAATTCCATGCTCAGTAAACAAACTGGAAAGTAGAACTTTCATAACTACAACCACTTACAAAGCCATAATAGTTCGATCAATAATTTAGATTCAAAAAATTGTTACCAACAAAATGAAAGTAACAAAAAGGTAAATATATCTTGATTCTAATACAAGTCATAAACCAAATTGAATGAAACCTGCATGAGGAGACTTGGGCATCTATTTTCTTCTCGGCTTCAGCGCTTGCTTTACGCAATTTGTCTGAAGTAGAAACCAACTTTGGAACCACGCATGATTGCACCAATGAAAACTGCTGTGCCTCCAATTCTGCCAGCGGTAATATAACATTCTTGTACGTAACCTGAGGATTTTTCAAAACAATATAAACAGATATGAATTTCCGTATTTCAAATGTCATAATAGGCCAAAAAAAGAGCAACTTAAAAGAAAAAACCTTATCGAGCGGAACTGAAGCAACAGCATCATGAACTTCCTTTGATTTTGCAATGATTCGGTCAGCTAACTTTAGAATCTCACTCGCCGACAAATTAACTCGAAAATTACATCCCGGAAGATCTAAAATTAAATAAAAATAAAAATAAATAAGAAACGAAGTAATTTAGAATAAGAATATTTAAACGAGTAGCAAACAAGTAAAGAAAAGGCAGTAAAAAATCCGTTGAAGAAGAGAAAATGGAAGTGACCTTTTTTCTTGGAGTTTCTCCGGTTGTTGATGGCGGTGATAGCGAGGCTAACAGCGAGAGTGAGAAGAGCGGCAGCTCCGGTGAGTGACACGATGTTACTTCCTTTCTTCGGTTTGCTGCTCATTTTCTTCTCACTGTTTCCTTCGCTTTCCATTTTGCCTCTTGATTTTTCTTCTTCGCTGTTTGATAATGTCTTCTATGGAGCCAACCAGAGGACAATTTTGAGGAGCTTAGATTGGGAGGGAAATTTCCGTCATTCGGAGCGGAAAAATGTTAAATTTCATTTAATTAGATGAATGAGACCAAAATGGATTTTTGACTTTCTTGAAATGGAAAAGGAAGCCGCGCAATGAGGGGGACCATTTTTGCTTCAATTTTTTAAAAAGAGCTAAAGAAATGGACGCCAGTTTTGGTAGAGCCGGAGCGCTATCGTTTTCGATCGTTACATTTCAGGGAAAAGGCCGGCCCCTAATGGAAAATCATGGCCCTACTCTGATTTGGCTTCGCGTCTGATTTCTGGAATTGCACCGGAATGGCCTTATAGGATACCAACCTGGACCTTGAAACTTTGGGCTCCAAGCCCGACGGATCCGATATTGGTATTGATGAGGACTTTCAAAGTCCTTGGGTCATCTTACTCTCTGAAGTCATTACATAGATCTATCAATTTTGTTAAACAATATATTCTTTACAAGCCTTACGTTTCTAAACTCATCAAGTGTATAAGGAATATATAGATCTATCAATTGTTCTACCCTCTCCGTCAAAATTAAAACTTCCATGATTCCCTTTTTCAACACCACTTTCAAGATTAGATAAAACCATTAACATCCCTATAAGGTGCCCTATTCTCAATCTCTATATTCTCAACATCATTGCCTTCTAATTGACTTTGTTGATCATCAGTCTCAGTTTCAAACATTCGATCAACATCTTCACTAAACATAACAAATCTTTTTTCCTCATTACTGTCCATTGAATCATTACTAGAATCACTTTCACTCATTATATTCACATAAGAACTACCTGTCTTTACATTTTTTTCTACCCCTACCACTAATTGAACTACTAGCACCAACACCAATATTCCCTCTGCCTCTACCTTTACCACTAATTGAACTACTAGCATCAACACCAACAATCCCTTTGTCTCTACCAATATATGAACTACTAACATCAACACCAACATTGCCTCTACCTATGGTAGCACTAGTTACATTAACAATTCCTTTACCTCTACTTCTACAACTAGCTACCCTAACATTCCTTCTATCTCTACCTTTACCACTACCATTTCCAACAACATCAATATCAACATCTGACATATTAACATTATTAACATTATCAACTAAAAAGTTACTTGTTATAGGCTTGAATATTGTTTAAAGAGGAGTTACAAGTATGAAATACAAGTAGAAGTGAATTTTCTTTAAACATCAATGCATTTCAAACAATTTCAGCACATTATCATCACTTCCTAACTCAAATAATTCCTTCGACTTTTGTAAGCCATGCATATACTCATTCCTATATCAATAGTGGAACCATTTATAATACTTTTAAAAATGTCACCTATCAACTCAATGAAAGGATACTTGTCAAGATCAATATTCCTTATTGTGACCCAATTATTGTTGCAATGAACCATCAAGTCGTGCAAAATCTTACTGGCCATTGACGATATTACAACAAAATATTTTACATTAATAAAGCATATACAATAATTTAATTTTACATTAAAAATAGAATACTTTGCAATTAGGATTTGAAAACCTCTAATTGCATCTTATTAGAGTTTGAGAGCAGTTACAACAAAATAATCTTACATTAGTAAAGCATGCACAATAATATACTTTTATATTGAAAATAGAAAATTTTCTAATTGAGGTTTGAAAACCTCAAATTCCATTCGATCAATGTTAAGGCTAGGGTTTCACTTCCCATAACTGATTAAATTGATGAAAGTTTTCTTTGTTTATCGATGCATAACAACATCCAATCCAAAAATATTATCTTTTTGTCCTCACTCTTCCCTATTAATCAGTTCCAATTTCAAAAATAGTGTTGTAGGGTTTCAAAAATATTATTTAAGTTTTAAAGTAATGAAATACACTTGGGTTTTTGGATTTTAAGTTATAGGATGGATGATTTTTGGTGAGGCATTTTTGAAACCCCAAAAAACCCATTAGGATCAACTTGGATTTTTGGTGGTTGGAGATGATTAAGAAGAATCCTAATAGTCAAGCAAAGCATGTAATCTAGGTTAAAAGATGCGTTTTGGTGTTTTTATCTCATAGTTAGTTTAGACATTTTCCAACATCTGTTAATGATGTTTGGGATTTTATGATGAAATGTTTACTTTGAATACTAATAAATTTGAGATGAATTAAGATGAAATCTTAGGAATTTAGGGATAGTTTATCATTTTAAGGGTAAAATACACTGACACCTTCAACTTTTGACCATAATTACACGTAGATTCATTAGTTTTGAAAATGAATAATCTGCCATATAAAGACATTAATGCCTCAACATGAAATGTCTAAAATGCCCTTTTTTCACTTTTTTTCTTTCTCACAGGTTGACTAATGATGCTCTTTTACACTGGTCAACTACTTTACGACCGGATCTAATAGTGCAATGCTAGATTTGGCTGTGCACCCCAAACTCAAGCTTCCCCTGGTCTTGTTCCACAGGGAGCACCGATCCTAGGGAGCATGATGCTTCTCAAGGGAGCATCGTCGACCACAATGTGGTTGGGTTGAGAGTTTTTGAAAAGAGAGAAAAAATTTAAAATAAAAAATATAATTTATATAGTAGTAATTTTTTAAATTAATGAAATGCAAAATTGTCTTAAAAATATTACCATGTCAATAAACTAATAGAAACATTGACGGTTGACTAATGGTAGGACTTATATGTCTAGCGAAAATATTTTTTTAGAATGAACTGTCTATTTTAAAAATTAATGAACCTGCATATAATTATGATCAAAAGTTGAGGGTGTCCTTGTATTTTACTCTATTAATAATTATTCATGTACACCATAAATTTAATATAACAATTTTAAATTCTTAAGAGTTATATTCAATAAAACATACTGGCACATATTATTTATATTAAAATAATAATGAATAAATTAAGTAAAAAAATATTTAAAAGAGTATTTTAGGAACATCATTAATTATTTAAGGGTAAAAAGTGAAAAAAAAATGGGCAAAAAGGGATGTAATTTTTGAGTAAAAAAAAAGTATTCATCTTATAAATGTACATTTACAGACATTATAGAATTAAAAACTGAACAAATAGGGTGATATTGTCTAAGTGGATCAAGGTGACCTTGACCTTTTGAGCACTAGTCGCATTCTTCACTAAAGGTGCAATGCGAGTTCCTACCCCAAGTGCAATCGTGGTTGCTTACCAAACAACAACCCACGATGCAATTGGACAAAAAAAATGCTTCGATGCACCTTACCGTGGTTTTGAACAGGCTTAAAAAAAATGGATAAAATATACTGACACTCTCAACTTTTGATCATAATTCCACATAGGTCTATTAGTTTCAAAGATGTACAACTCACCCCAACTGTGTAAACAATGTTAATATCTAAACGTGAAATGCCTAAAATACCTTTATTCCTTTTACACTCTTTTCCTTTCTCTTAGGCCAACCAGTGACACTTCCTAACACCAATTGACCACCCTGTGGCCGAATCTTGCAATGGAATGCGGGATCTTATCGAATCTCTCTAAGGGAGCATTAAATCGTGCTCTCGAAGGGAACGTCAATCGACATCAGCTATGGGGTGACCGATCGACGAACGATAAGTTAGAGAGATTATTTTTGAATAAGAAAAAAAAAATTTAAATACAAAATTATAATTTATATAATGATAATTTTTAAAATTAATGAAAAGTAAAAGTGTTTTAAAAATATTATCATATTATCAAACTAATGAAAATATTAACGGTTAATTAATTGCACGACTTATATGTTCATCGAAAGATTTTTTTGAAGTGAAATGTTTATTTTGAAAAGTAATAAACCTGTGTATAATTATAATTAAAAGTTAAAAATTTTAGTGCATTTTCCCTTTATTAATATTATTTTAGGTTGATATCCTTAACAATCATTTTCGATTCTCACTATATTTCCTACTACTAGTATTGCTTTTACCAAACACGTCATTTTCACCATTAGTTTCAATATCATTACTATAACTGTAATCTCACAGTTACGATTATCAATTTCACCATTATTGGTATTTTCAATTTTTCTGAAATTAATCTCACCGTTATGTTTATCTAATCTTTAAAAAATATATGATTTATTATTCAAATCATCTATCTCCTCAAGATCCTTAATTTTTTATAAAAAAAAATTATGGAAGAGAAATGTTATGAATAGAGTAATTTTTGGTTCTTTAATAATACCGTAACAAAATCATGATATTAAAATTTGACAATAAATGGTTGTTCAAACTAACTCAATAAAGAACAATAGCAGCAATGTGTAAACTTTGTTAGGCAAATTAGAATAAATGGAAGTTGGCAAAGCCAATATCACAAGGTTCTAAGCAATGCAACTTGATAACAAAACGAGCTACCCCATTTACGCATATAAAATATAGACAGACAACTACCTGTGTAATGTCCTCAACCTTTAATCTTAGCCATAATTCTTGGCCTGCTCTTGTTTCTTTGGTCAAAACATCGAATTTAAATTATGTCTTGCAGAAGTTGTATTATAAATATAAATATAAATGCTAATGCTGCCAAGTCCTAATTCTGCTTTCCCACAAGAAATAGCCACCCACCTCCCTACCTATTCCATTAAATATCATACCGAAAAGATAACTTAATTAAATGGGTTAATGATTTCTTTTAATTTAGGAAAAGGGGATTTGAACCTATTATTAAATAAAAAAAGTCATACATTAATCATTAAATTAAACATTTAAGTGCAAACAAGCTAATAATTTACTAATAATAAATTCTTAACTTAATTCAACTGACCATTGTCATGGAGCATTCGATTACCTTAAGACATGAGATTAGGTTAATATCAGAGATCAAAATATTTATAATAAACTATAGAATAGAGAGCGGACTTCCTATTCTCTTTTCAAATTATTCAATCTCTAATAATTATGACATTTAATTATAAAAAA